AATCTTTTAGTTGCACATGAGTAAAGAACATACCCTTAAAATTTCTTCCTTCGTTCTCGAGTTAGTAATTTTCCCGCCAAAACTTTTATGTGTCCGTGCGTGACTCCCGGGAAGTTCTGAAGTGCTGAATTTCGAAACTTTTAACCGTACATGAGTAGAAGACATCCCCTTTAAATTCCAACTTTCCAACTGAAGGTCAGCAGTTTTTCCGCTGAAATCCTCACATGTCCATACTTGACCCCCGGGTGGTTCTAAGCAGCCGGATTTGGAATCTTTTAGCCATACATGGGCAGGGCTAAAAGATTTCAAATTCCCCTAAAATTTCAGCTTTCTAGCTTTTCTCTTTCCCGAGTTAGCTATTTTTCCGTCAAAATTTTCACATGTCCGTACGTAGACATAGACGTGCTTGAGAGCTGGTGTAGCGTTCCTGGGGTCGTATTTGCCCAGGGAAGACACTGACAAAATTTCAGCATCAAAGCTTGCGTGGTTGGCAAACAGAAATACTCGGAGAGCTGCACACACACACAAACATATGCACACATACACACAGATAGGTTCGTCGCAATATGCGTTTTTACTGCCTGTTGCAGCGCTCTGGCGCTGTACGAAAAGGCCCATAAAAATAGCAAACCTATGTCGACGCGTGTTAATTAAAGTCGGGTGAGTCTTCTTAACTCTTACGGCCTTTTAATGACAATAATAACAAATCAGTGTTTAAAGTCAGGATGGGATTTGCACCAACGAAAATCCATTTGGTTATTGCTGCTAGTAAGACTACCTGAGTGACAACGAAGGTTAAAACAAGTTTTATCTTCGAAAACGGACAGGGAGGGGATGTAACACTTTTAGCAATTTTTTGTTGAAACGCATTCAGAAACACTCTTTTTTAAATCAGTAGTGAACTTATTATTTTGAACACTATCGGGATCACGGTGCCGAAAATGGAGATGAGCATTTTTAGGGGGAGGAGGACGCGCAAGAGGAAAAAGTTTTTTCTTGCAAAAAATTCAATCTAATTTTAGACGCCTTTACTTGGTATATTTTGCACATGAAAAAGAATTTGGCTATCATCGCCAATATGAACTTAATGAGCAAAAATTTTAAAAACATGTTGTATTCTGGGAACACAAGATTTTTCGCGTCCAACTTGAATAAGGCCACTTCTTCATTCTTTCATCTCCCCTCTTGTTTTACTGATCGCCATAACTACTCTTTGCTACGTGTGTGATATATCATTAATAGGTAGAACGTAGATGAAATTTTTTTCTAGTCCGAAATATTAAATCCATCATGATTGCTTTCTTGAGTTCCCAATTTTGTGTCTTCAAGTTGCGCTCGATGTTAAAATTGCTGCTGCTACCGCTACTGTTATGTTTTTTGGTTTTTTGGAAAAAACAGTGGTGCCGTATTTGAAACAGTGCAAAAAAACTGCAGATCAGTTTAGGTTACCTATTCACACACACACACACACACACACACACACACA